GTGTTTTCCAAGGTAGTTAGTTATACATGCTTCATATTATCTTTAAGTTCAGTGCCTAGTAATCTTACTTTGTTGACTACCAAACAATTTGTCAGAGTATTCCTTGATTGTCTCTAACTCTTTCATTCTCTGCAATTCGAATTCACTTATTAAATTTAATACCTTCATTCCTCGTATTCTTTCATCTTCAGCATATTCTTTCTTCAGATAATTCCAAATTCTTTTGGTGATGTGAGAGTCATGATTTTCGTGAAAACAATTGTCGAAACATCAACAAACAAAGTTGTTTTTGCCTTCGACTTAATGGTTTTATTTTCCTTGTGACTCTTGATTTGGGCCACGGTGGGATTATTTGGCTTCATAAGCCTCTTCCACGGCTACCCAAAGATCAAGAGCCTCCATGTAGGTTTCCATTCTCACAGCCCATAGTTGATAATTTTCACCATAAAAAATAGGAGGAGCCATTCGTGCAAAACTATTTTCAGAATCCATTTTTCTACTCATAGGTCCCTCAAGAAGAAGGCTCTAGATACCAATTGTTGATTTTTTTACTAAAGAAATTAATAAAATAACTTTGAGAAAAAAATACTGCACAATTGTCAAAGGGAATTATTTTATTAATTATTCAGAGACATACATTTATAGATATAATTCGTAACTAAAACTAGAAAAATATGCCAGTAAAATTCAAATAACAAATAAAAGAACTAACTCCTAAATTCAAATCACACAGGACTCTAATAAAATAATTTTAAAATCCTACAAGTAGCTAACTGATTTATTTCTGCAATATCCTGAGACATATTTTCAACAAACTCCTTTATTTTCTGCTCCATAGTACAAAGTATTTCCTTGTCCTTGCAAAATTCAACCAGGGGTGGCGAGAAGCAAAAGTCAAACCCTGCAAATGGTGAATTAAATTTTACATCTTGTAATGCCTTACAATTTAAAACAAAAATTAATCCAAAAAATGCCAGCATTTGCAAATACTATAAACAAAAAATATTTAAAATAAAAGGAAGAGTAAAAAGATCAATGCAGTAGTTGCTACTGGAGTTAGCTTCATAAGATAAACAAACACAATTGTTACCCCACTCTCTTCTCCTCTCTCATGGAGATTTGAGGGCGGCAACTCTCATGTTATTTTAGTTGTGTCCCAGCCTTCTGTTGGAGACCAAACACCACCACAACATCTCCAAAATACTATTGATTCAACGCATAAACCAATTGTTCTACCAGATCTATATCAAAAACCAATTCATTCATGGAGAGTCAACCATTGAATCACCATGGATAAGTTAATAAATTCACAATTAAATTCATTCTTGGGACATTGTACTAAGGTAATGTGCATTCTATGCGTGAACATAACTTGATCTTTGTGTCCTAATTCATATTTAAACATGTGGGAGATTATTGGAATTTTGTTTAAGTTAAATTATTAATTAGTATTTTAAATGAAAGGATGTGTCTTTTAAATTAAAGGTATGTCCTTTCCTTCTTTGGTTACCACCAATTCTATTTAAATCCAACTTCTCCAGATTTCAACACAACTTTACATAGTATATTTCCTTACAATACTCCCCAAAGAACTCGTTTCTTCTTCAAAAAGTTCAAGTTTGTAGAAATCGTGACTTTCTAATCAGTATTGACTAAGAACTCCATGGGAGAAGCTCTGAGCTTTGACAGAGAAGAACCAGAAGTGAAACTGCATTTGTGCAAAATGAAAACTGACTTATCATTGAGCTGATCTTTGCACATTTATACACGTTGAACTAACTAACAGAATGTGCATCTAACTAATTGGAAAGCATAACAAACTAACTAACTGAAAAGAAATAAAGACTAATGATTTACAATCTTCAAGTCCTACATGTACTAATTTATCAAATACAAATACATGATCTTACCACCCCCCCTCAAGTTGGCAGTGATGTAGTTACTGACAACTTGCGCAAGATGTTAGAATGACTAGGTCCACTCAAAGCTTTGGTTAGAATATCAGCCATTTGTTCTGTAGTGGAGACATGATGAAGAGCAATGAGCCCTTCTTGCAATTTGTTTCTCACAAAATGACAGTCAACCTCAATGTGTTTGGTGCGTTCATGGAATACTGGGTTCTTTGCAATATGGATTGCTGCCTGGTTATCACAAAAAACTGAAATAGGCAAGCTGCAAGGCTCAGTTAACTCACCCAACAATCTGTCCAACCAAACTAATTCTCCAACTACCTTCCTGACTGCTCTATATTCTGCTTCGGCTGATGACAATGATATTGTTGTCTGCTTCTTTGATTTCCAACCAATAGGACTGTCCCCTAAGAACACTATATATCCACTTACAGATTTCCTAGAATCAGAGCATGCTGCCCAGTCTGAGTCACAATAGGCAGTAATTGTACAGTCTGTATGTTTGGTCATGAAAATGCCTTGACTCAAGTCATTCTTCAAGTATCTCAACACATGAAAAGCTGCCTTAAGATGTGGTTCCCTCGGTGCTTGTAAAAATTGACTGAGATGTTGAACACTATATGTGATGTCCATCCTTGTAATTGTGAGAAAATTCAATTTACCCACCAATTTTCTGTAATAAGTTGGATTAGTAAGCAGCGTTCCTTCATTTGAACTCAACTTCACAGAAGGATCAAGTGGTGACGATGTTGTGCTGTAGTTTGAACAATCAAATTCCTTGATTAAATCTGCAGCAAACTTTTTCTGAGAAATCAAAACACCATTATCCTTGTATAGAATTTCCAGGCCTAGAAAATAATTAAGCTTTCCTAAATCTTTTATCTTGAACTGAGCATGTAGATGTGCCTTTAAAGACTCAATTTCTGTCAAATCTGTTCCTGTCAAAATAATGTCATCTACATATATTGCTACAAACACTACAGACATTCCAACTTTTCTATAGAAGAGAGAATAGTCACTGACAGAGTGTGAATATCCTCTTGAGCAAAGTGTTGTGGCTAATTTTTCATACCACTGTCTGCTGGCTTGTTTTAATCCATATAGAGACTTTCTCAATTTACACACCATTCTTCTATCATCAACCAGCAAACCCTGTGGAAGTGCCATATAGACCTCTTCATGTAGATCATCATGAAGAAAGGCATTGTTAACATCCAATTGATATAAACCCCAGCCCTTCTTGACAGCCAAACCAATTAATGTCCTCACAGTGATCATCTTCACCACAGGTGAGAAGGTCTCAGTATAATCAATCCCTGCTTGTTGTGTATAACCTTTGACAACTAATTTGGCTTTAAACCTTTCCACTGTGCCATCAGCTCTGTGCTTGATCTTGTAAACCCACATGCAACCTACTGGTTTCTTTCCTGCAGGCAGTGGTACTAAATCCCATGTGTTATTATCATATAAAGCTTTAAATTCTGATGTCATGGCTGCTTGCCATGCAGGATCCAAAAATGCCTCCTCATAAGAGAATGGTTCAATATCATGAGAAATGTGTTGCATTAGTTGCTGACTATCCAAGCAAAATGAGGTAAGGGAAATATGATTAGAATTATGATGACTGATATGTGGAATCGAGGTTGAAAGAAAAGACTGTGATGATGGTAATTTGTAGGTGTATTCACTTAGATATCTTGGAACAGTGTGTGTTCTAGTTGATCTCCTAAGGGCTGGTTCATTGTGTGTTTCAGTTGGTATTGTAGGGATAGAATTAGTTTGGGTAATTGTTGGTTCAGTATGTGTGTTTGTTGGTGACATAGGATTGGTTTGAGTGTTATCTGCAGTAACATTATCAAGTACAAAAGGTGAAGTAACATGATCATCAATGTTAGTGACTTCCTTGGTGATATCCTTATCCAACATGTTCAATATTGTAAAATTATTTCTTAGATTTTTTAAGACAGAAATAAAGCTAGAATCAGGAAACACATCAGCAAAAGGAAAAATGCTCTCATGAAATGTGACATCTCTAGAAATGTGTATCCTTTTAGACTCTAAGTCTAGGACCTTGTAACCCTTTGTGTTGAAGGGATATCCAATAAAGATGTGAGGTGTTGATCTTGGTTCAAATTTGTCTTTGTGTGTTTTTAGGGTGGTTGGAAAGCACAGGTATCCAAATGACCTGAGATGTGAGTAGGTAGGTTGTTTGTTGTACAATATCTCAAAAGGTGTTTTGTTGTTCAAGGTTGTGGAAGGAAGTCTATTGATCAAATATGTTGCAGTAAGAACACATTCCCCCCAGTACTGTAAGGGAAGTTTTGAGTGATATAACAATGCTCTGGCAGTTTCAAGCAAATACTTATGCTTTCTTTCTACAATACCATTCTGCTGTGGTGTATAGGGGCAGGTTCTTTGATGGATAATTCCTTTATTTTGGAGAAAATCAGAGGTTTCTTTATTCGTAAACTCCAAGCCATTGTCAGTTCTAATGGACTTTACTGTGGTTTTGAATTGGTTTTCTATTAGGTAGATTAAGGCTTTAATGGTTTGCAGTGAATTACTTTTGCAGCTAAGCAATTGAGTCCATGTTGATCTACTAAAATCATCAACCATAGTGAGGAAATATTTCTGATTTGTATGTGTTGGTGTGTGATATGGTCCCCACAAATCAATGTGAAGCAATTCAAAAATTTCTGTGGATTGTATTGTTGTTTTATTGGGAAAGGGAAGTCTTGCCTGTCTTGCCATTGGACAAATAGTACAGGTGAAAGGCTGTTTTGGGGCAAAAGAGAAAGGTATTGTGGAGATACCCCTCATTTTTACAAAGGGTACATGACCTAGCCTTGCATGCCACAAATGATCCACATTTCCATGAGACATACATGACTTATGAGAATCAGCAGGACACAAATTTGTAACAGGTTGCTGTGGATTCCAACAAATGTCTTTATTATTTTCATGAAATGATCTTACAAAAGGAGTACAAGGGAAAGGGATTTTCTCATGTGACACAGGATGTGAGACAGAAAAAGGTGGAGTTGAAACAAGTGAAGAAAGACCAGATGATTTGCTGCAGTTTGGACATCTTTAACAAGTGAAGTAGAGGCCATCTTTTGCACTACCAATCTCCAGAGGGCTCTTCAGAGAAGGGCCCTGCATAAGACACGATGAGTTGGTGAAACTAATAACAACTTTAAGTTGTGAAGCTAAACACTGGACAGAAATCAAATTGAATTTAAAGCTAGGTACAAATAATACTTGATATAGAGTCAATGCTGAATTTAGATAGGCATCACCAATCTCTGTCACTTTCACTTTATATCCATTAGGTAGTGTAACCAAGAATGGGTAAGCTAGAGGTCTGATTCTAGTAAGCAAGGCTTTATTATATGTCATGTGGTTTGTGGCTCCTGAGTCTATAATCCATGAGGCAGCAGATGATGCAACACATTTACAAGACAATTTACCAAATTCAGTTATAGAGGAATGACAAGCTAAGATACCTGCAAGGTTCACAGCTCCATGTCCATTTGCAAGGTTGTCTACAGAATCCCTGTGTCCATCATTTGTGGCTTCTCCATGAACATGAATGTTTCCCAACAAATTGAGCAACTGGTTGTACTGGTCCTGTGTAAGACTGTGAGTCAAATTGTTCTCTTGTTCTTCATACTTCTCAGAAATTGAACTTCTTGAATTTCCATGGACATTTGCTGCTGATCCTGAGTTTCTTCCCTTAGTAAACTTGAAATCCTGAGGGAATCCATGTAGCCTATAACATTTTTCCTCAGTGTGACCTGACTTCTTACAATAGTCACATAACAGATTTGACTTGTTGTGATTTGGTGGATATGTTCTGAAAGAATTTCCTGAATTACTAGATGAACCTGCATAGTAACCAGATGATGAATTGCTGGTAGGATTTGGTTTATACACACCCTTGCCCCCTCCTCTATTTGGAGTATAATTTGTCCTGAAAGTGCTAGTGTTGTTGCCTGCAATAGAGTGCCTGGAACCTGAACTACTGCTTGCAGATACATTTAGTGAAGTGGAGTCCAGATGAACTCGAGAATGAGGCTTGACTTCTCTTTGCTTTTCCTCCTGAACTAGGATGGAGAAAGTCTGAGCCATGGTAGGTAGAGGATTCATCATCAAAATACTTCCTCGAACAACTGTGTAAACTTCATTTAAGCCCATTAAGAACTGAATGAGGCGTCGATCTTGTTCTGCCTTGTGCAGTTTATTCTTACCCCCACATGTACATGAGCAAGTGCATTGTGTAGTAACATCCAAAGTAGCCAATTCCTCCCACAACCTCTTGATGTTAGTGTAATATCCGGTGACATCAAGGTTACCTTGAGTAAGATTGCTAAGTTCCTGTTGAATTTGGTACAGTTTCGCGCCATTTGCCTGGTCATATCGATCTTCTAATTCCTCCCATAATTCCTTTGCATTGTTTACATATTGTAGGCTATCAGCTAGATCCTTCGACAGAGAATTAAGAATCCAAGAGGTTACCATATTATCACAGCGTTCCCATTGATCATACGTAGGCGAAGTAGGAGCTGGTTTCTCAATTTTGCCATTGATGAAACCTGTCTTGTTCTTCACAGAAAGTGCTCTGAGAATTCCCCGTCGCCATGATCGATATCCGGTGCCATCGAAAACGACTGGAGTGATTGATGACCCAGCGTTCTCTGAAGGATGCACATACAGGGCATTATTGGAATCATGATGGATCTGCGTTTGTTGAGTCTCAGCAGTCAAGGTCGGTTGATCTGTACCAATCGCCATGAATCAATAGCAAGTGATAATAAGAAGAAAATGTATGAGAAACGAAGAGTGAGATCACAAATCGCGGAATATCAGATTGAGAATTGAGAGAGAGAGACGATTGCGAGATCGCAAATCGAGAAACGAAGAGAGGAGAATTGAATCAATGTGGAAGAGAAACGAATCAATGCAGAGGAAGAATCCCTCGGCTCTGATACCATGTAGAAATCGTGACTTTCTAATCAGTATTGACTAAGAACTCCATGGGAGGAGCTCTGAGCTTTGACAGAGAAGAACCAGAAGTGAAACTGCATTTGTGCAAAATGAAAACTGACTTATCATTGAGCTGATCTTTGCACATTTATACACGTTGAACTAACTAACAGAATGTGCATCTAACTAATTGGAAAGCATAACAAACTAACTAACTGAAAAGAAATAAAGACTAATGATTTACAATCTTCAAGTCCTACATGTACTAATTTATCAAATACAAATACATGATCTTAACAAAGTTCAAGCTCTTGATTTACAATAGGATTTCTTCATTATTTGCTTAGTGCAAAAATTCATATGCTTTTCATATCCACTAAAACTATTTGCATACAATCCAATAGGCAATAGCAATCTCACAGAGGAAAGGGAGCAAATATCATTTTTAGGAAAGCGTTTCATACGTGTTTTTATAATTGCAGAGAAGTAGACTGAAAATTGCATGTATTAATGAGTTTCCAATACTGTTTATATACAAAGCAACGTGACATATTAAACTAAGCAAACTCCTAGGAAATAGGAACAGATAATATACATGCAGTCCTATATTACGTGCGTTACACTAAAGTCCTAATCTATAGCTAATATTGAGTAGCATGTGCACTATTAGTTTCAAGCCTTCAATTATGTGTTCGTTGTTCATGTTATCAAAATTTAATCTTTTTGTTCTTCTTTGTATAAATTTTGTGTTCTTGGAAAATATTTTCCAACAGATTGCATCAGGCTAAGTACTGTTAGGGATAAGTTAATCCTAGACCTACTAGATAAGCATCCAAATCGTGTAAGACTACAATTATTGGAGAAAGAATTGGGTAAAATTATCAAAAAAATTGTCTATGATAATCTTCCACTGTATTGCCCTCATTGTAAACATCGAAAATAAATGTCGCTTGTTTATGAGGTAAACCTTGTTTCAAGGTGCTCAATTAGGCGATGAAGTTGGGTGAGATGTTGCACTTATCCAGCCTAATTCTGAGGCTAACAATATGAAATAATTAAAGGGAGATGCCTGTGACTTTTTGAATGCTAAGAGAGCTGAGAAAATAGATATTAAAAAACCTGTAGGTGGTCAAAATACGGGGTTGGGAATATTAATTTGAACAAGGATAATTCTTTGGTCATTGTTGCAGGGACAACTGGTGGAAATAGAATTGTGGTTTGAGCTGTTCGAAGTGACCTTGATCCTAATATCGAGGGACAGAGCTTAGGAAAATAGGTCGTTGAATATGTTGGAAAGGAGCTACCTACATTACCGATTTCCAAACATACTGAAATTAGAATTTCAGAACAAAATACCTCCGTTATGGCAACATCAGGGAATCAAACTCTTGTTCCTGCTGGAGAGATACTGCAGCAACAACAAATGGATGTTTCGTGTGTTCGCAATAATCAACAAGGTGAGGTTATTTCAAATATAGTTGATCGTGTTGGAGTTAAAGTGCAAAGTAGTGAAACATGTTAGAAAATGAGATATTTCTAGATGTCTTTTGTTTAATTGTTATTTTCTTAAATATTATGTTAAGTATGTAAAGGAAAGGTAGTCCTTGTTTTATGGAATATGTTTTGTAAGAAAGTCAATAGTGGGTGGATATGTATGGTCCTCTACTAACTTTGGAAAAGCTTATGTAGATATATGTGTGTATGCTTTTAAAAAGCTAAATATATGAATGAAATTTCTGCTGCTGAACCTTATTTTTTCTCTCTAAAAGTTTCAAATCCTAACAGTGGTATCAAGAGCCCTTCTTCTTGAGGGATCTGTGAAGGCAAGAAGGCTAAGGTTTTTTCTCCTTCTAAGGTGAGAGCTGAGCAGCAGTAACATGGCATCCAACAGCTTCTTGGGTGCAGGCCCTCCTATGTTTACAGGAGAAAATTATCACATATGGGTGATAAAGATGAAGGCTTATCTCAAAGCTCTTAGTCTATGGGAAACAATTGAAAGTGAAGATGATCCTCTTCCACTTGGACCAAATCCAACAGTTGCACAAATGAAGATTTATGAAGATGCAAAGTCAAGGAAACCCAAGGCTCTCACATGTCTTCATTCAGCACTTTCAGATGTGATTTTCACAAGAATAATGGCTTGTGAAACACCTAAAGAAGTATGGGAGAAACTAAAAGAGGAGTTCGATGGAAGTGATAGAGTGAAGACTGTCAAACTCTTAACTCTCAAAAGAGAATTTGAGATGTTAAGGATGAAAGAAGGAGATACTGTGAAAGAGTATTCTGCCAAACTTATGGAGATTGTAAACAAAGTAAGGCTGTTTGGTGAAACCTTTCCAGATTCAAGGGTGGTGGAGAAGATGATGATAAGCTTACCAGCAAGGTTTGAGTCCAAGATTTCAGACTTCATTTGCATAATTCTGGTAAGAATTGAAGGGGATACTGCAAAGAATAGGCAAGCTTTGGCTTAGGCATTCCTTGTCTTATTCTCATTGTGATTTTTCATCGGATTCATTGTTGGATTATCACCGAGAGGAGTTACTTGATAATCCTCTTCTCCTGTTTCTCAGAGATCCAACACTTTAAGATGAATCGTCATTCTAATTGCCCAAGCTTAATAATTTTCACCATTGAAGACTAGTGGAGTTAAGAAGCTTGTTGCAAAATTCATTTTCTATAAACTATTTAAGATAATAGTCCAAAGAATGGCTTATAATATGGTTCACTCTCTTATCACAAGTCCCGCAAGATGCCAATGCTCTGATACAAATTTGTACAAGATTATCATATATATTGACAAAGAAAGAAAAGAAAAAGATAACAAGGTTAAGTTGCATTACTTTATTGAAATAATGACTGCAATATAAATACATTAATCCATAACTTAAAAATCTAAAGAAAAGGAGTAAAATAAGCAAACATTATTTCCACTAACTAAAACCTAAATTATAGCAACTAACTAATCAGATTCTGCCCAACACTGTACACTTATCTATCTGAACTTAATCCTACTTTTAAGTTGTATATTGATACAACAGAAGGTGGAACTAATCTCCAGCTTTTGAGGCACCACTTTCAACACATTTGCCTGTGATTTATTTTTTCCTCTTCATTTATTAGTTTCAATATCTTTTTGAGCTTATGAAACGACCTTACCCAATTCGAAGTTCCAACCCATTTCTACCAATAGCATTTGAGGTAGACTTGTCTGTCTTCGATATCAGTTTTCCCTTCCAAATCAATAGATGAAGTTAATTTCTCATATGGTCATCTAAATAATGAAAATAATCTATCAAAGACACTTTTTTTTAATATAAGAAATCATTCAACTATTACTTTGCCTTTTACAAAATATGAGCCTTTAAAGCTACTAAACTCATGTGATTTACTAAATTGTCATCTTTAAAAAATATACTTCTATGACAAAATCCATTAAATAAACCCATCCAATTAATTGATTTAGTTTTCCTTGGTCATTAATCGATGGATTTATCTTCGAACAAATCTTTTGTATTTTAATATGATAATGGATACAACATTTTTTAGGTAATTCTTGAATTTTTAAATTTAGAGTCGAGCAATCTTACCCGGTTAACGATGCCAAGAATGATGGTAGGGGTGGATGAGTACAATAAGAGTCAACCATTGTCAAAAATAGGATTTGCACAGGGCTCATTCCCCATAATGTACCTAGGGATACCACTATCTTCAAAGAAATGGAGCAAAATGGAGTATCACCAACCGACTGAGAAGAGTACTAGCAGAATCACAAAAGTCTACTCAAAACAGTTGTTGTATGCAGGCCAGGAGGTTGCAGGTGATTATCTCAGTGATGTTCTCTATTCATAGTTTATGGGGATCTGTTTTCATACTACCCCAGAGCGTGATAAAAGAAGTTGACAAAACATGCAGGGCATACTTATGGGGTAGCTTTGAGGATAAAAAGAAGATTAAGCTAGTAGTGTGGGACAAAGTATGTGTCCCTAAGAAGTTTGGTGGTCTAAATATCAAAGGAAGCAAGTTGTGGAATGTGGCATCGGTGGGTAAGTTTGTTGTGGCAATTAATAGTTAAAAAAGATGTATTATGAATCAGATGGGTGTATATGAAAGAGAACTAGGACATCTGGGAGCATAAACATCCACAAGATAGTAGTTGGTACTAGAGAAAGTTGAATGCCTTAAAGAAAGACATGGTGGAGTGGTATGCAGAAGGCACGTATATCCTAACAACAAATGGGAAATACTCATTAGGAGAAAGCTACGACTCATTGTTAGGGGGTCCAGAGTAAGATGATAATTGATGAATTCATCTGAGATAAAATCTCTCAACCAAGGCATGGATTTATAATTTTGGTTAGCTATGTAGGGCAAATTCTGACTAAAGACTGACTACAAAGGATGAATATACTAGTGGATACTATAGCATGTAGTTTATGTGACGTGCAAAATGTTGAGACACAAAAACACCTTTTCTGAATGTGTTTGGACCAAAGGAATCATTACAGCGATGGATCAATGGTCTTTGGCGCTGATTCCAGTAGGAGATGTGAAATAAGTGTTAAAAAAAATTAGGGGGAAGAATTGGAAGCAACTGGACAAAGAGATAATCGCAGCACTTTGGGACTCAACAGTATATCATGTGTGGTAGGCTAGGAATTGAAAGTTGTATAGGGGAGCAATGGTGACTGTAGATACAACAATTACACAGATTAAGCAAAGCTTCAATGCTAGATTATACATAGTTAGAAAGACAAGGAAAGGCCAAAGATGCTGCTATTTGAATCAGCAATTTATCATGTAATTAGATCTATGTTCAAGGCTTAACTTGCATAGTCCCCTTCTACGAAAGGTAGTTGTGTAGTTAGGTGCTCTTTAGGTGTATTGGCTGGATGGTTAATGGTAATATTTACATTTGTTACCCAAAAAAATAAAAACAATGTCAAGAAGCTGATCTTAGTACTCTCTGTGTCTCAAGTCTAGGTCAGGTTGACTTAAGAAATAGAGAATGCAGATTCTAGAGGAGAAAATGAATGGTTGAAGTTGTGTATTTACATTACTGAATACCAATATATAAATGTATGTTAAAAATCAATGAAGGCTTAGCTCTAAGGCACTAAATCTATGATCCAAATTATATGGGATCTAATTTACACTAAATAGGAAAGTAAATATATGATAATATAATATTTCTTAACACTCCACCTCAAGTTGGAGAGTGAATATCATGAAGTCCCAACTTGTTGCATAGTGTCACAAATGGATCCCTTCCCAATGCCTTTGTAAATAAACATGTCAACTGGAAGCGTGTAGGTACATATGATGGACTAATAATTCCAGCTTGCAACTTTTATCGAACTATGTGACAATCTATTTCAATATGTTTTGTACATTCATGGAAGAGAGGATTCTCTGCAATATGCAAAATTGCTTGATTATCACAAAATAATTCTGTAGGAGTTACTTGTGGGACTTTCAGATCTTGTAGAATATACCGTAACCATGTGAGCTCCAAGCATGTGTTAGTCTTAGCCCGATATTTCTGCTTTTGCTGACGATCTTGAAACATTTGATTGTTTCTTGGACCATGAGACAAGAGAATTTCCAAGAAAATTACAATATCTTGTAATTGATCTCCTTGTGGCACTCCAACTCCCCCAATCTGAATCAGTAAAGGCCTTCACTGTAAGATCATTGGTGGAATGAAACAATAAGCCTTGATCTTGAGTACCCTTAATATATTTAAGGACCCGTATAGCAGCATCCCATTGAGGTTTTTGAGGCTGCATGTATTGACTTTGTATATGTACAGAATAGACTATGTCAGGTCTAGTAACCATAAGATAAACCAGCCTGCCAATTAATCTTCTATACTTAGTTGGATCATTCAATAATTCACCATGTGTAGGAGTAAGTTTCAAATTGTCTTCCATTGGAAATTTGTCTAGGCGTGCCCCTAGAAGTCCTGAGTCTTGTAAGATGTCTAATGCATATTTCCGTTGAGACATGAAATACCTTTATGCGATCTGGAAAACTCAATACCCAAAAAATATCTTAAACCTCCAAAACCATTAATGCGGAACCGTTTCATAAGGAACCTTTTGAGATGCTCGATTTCTTTAAGATCATTTCCTATGAGAAGTATATCATCAACATAAATTAAAACTTGCAGTAAATGAAGTACCTTGGCCTTTGGTAAAAAAAGAATAGTCAGCTTTTGATTTTTTCATAGTCAGCCTTTTGAATCGTTTCTAAAAAGGTGAGAAACCAATTTATTGATGCTTTTTTGAGACCATAGAGGGATATGTGTAGCTAACATACAATGTTCTCCCCAAGTTGGTGAAGTGCAGGTGGAGGTTCCATATATACTTCTTCATTCAAGTCACCGTGAAGGAATAATTTTGGACGTCTAGCTGGTAGGCAGACAAATTTCATGTAGCAACAACAGTATTAAGACAACAAAGTGTAGTAAGTTTGACTGTGAGAGAAAATGTTTCCTATTAATGAGTACCTTCTACTTGAGTGTATCCTTTAGAAATAAGACAAACCTTATATCTTTCATTGGTACCATCTGATTTGTACTTAATTTTGTAAACCCATATGCAACCGATGATTTTATGTACAGTAAGAAGAGGTACCAAACTCCATGCATTATTCTGTTGGTGTAAACCTTCGGATTTGAAAAGAAGAAAAAATTGCAGGTTTCATAGATCTGTGTTAGAAAATGAGATATTTCTAGATGTCTTTTGTTTAATTGTTATTTTCTTAAATATTATGTTAAGTATGTAAAGGAAAGGTAGTCCTTGTTTTATGGAATATGTTTTGTAAGAAAGTCAATAGTGGGTGGATATGTATGGTCCTCTACTAACTTTGGAAAAGCTTATGTAGATATATGTGTGTATGCTTTTAAAAAGCTAAATATATGAATGAAATTTCTGCTGCTGAACCTTATTTTTTCTCTCTAAAAGTTTCAAATCCTAACAAAACAATTACAAAAGTGCCGCTGGACCTTAGAAAATTAAAACAAATATATGTTATGGGGAGTTTATCAAGGACAACACGAAAAGAGAAGATGTAACGGAGGATGAACATATTGCTTTCCTAATGATGTTGTTTTGCAAGTAAGTCATTTGCAATGGTTTGTTAAGGGTAACAATTGAATACAGCCAATTAGTCATTGCTCTTGCTTCGGGCAAAAAGAATATTACTTGTCTCCTTTTGTATTATCTCATCTGATCGAAGCTGTAGAAAATAACTCTGGTTGCAGTGTTATTTTCTTGAATATAGACCTTTGCCTTATTATTCATAAAGTTGTCCAACTTTTGGGGTTGTCTTGGCTCAAGGCAAGTTAAAACAGAATAGCTTCCAAGAATGCTTTAAATTCTTATATTCATGCTCCTCCAGAACTCCTTGCCTGTTCACTCCATTTTCTCATGAATGGCTGAGATTGATGTTGTATCATACATCTCTTAAA